TTGGGGCAAGATTCCCACCTCCCCCTCTCTCGATTCCCAACCTTCCCTCCACCCCACTCTTTCCATGCCCAATATGAGAAAAGGAAGGAATCTTGATAGGTGTCCTGCCTTCCAGGAATTTGCCATCCGGTTGAGGAGACAAGCTCTACTCATTCAGAGGGTAGACCATGTATATTGGATTATTTGCCATGCCCAGGTGAGGGGTGCAGAGCGGAGAGAGATGCTTATGCCCTGGTCAGGTGCCAGGATGTGATGAAAGCTGGCCTGAGGGATAGTGAGATGTGGGTATGCAGAGACCAAGGGAGGAGATGCTGACAGCACAAAGATGGTGAATATAAGGGGAACAATGGCCACAGGAGTAGGAAGTGGAAAGCAAAAGGTGAATTGGGAGACATGGATTTGGCCAGCCTGACTGCATCCCCAGAAAGAGAGGGGATCACGTAGGGGGGTGGTAGGAGATGTGGCTGGAAAAGGAGTGTGGGGCCAGGAGGGAGAAGCCTTGGGGTAGGGCTAAGGAGTTTGGATTTTGCAGTGTGGCCAGTAGGGCAAGGTTGTGCCAAGCAGTGGTGGAGACAAATGAAACCCAAGGTAGAGACTCCTGCCCTCAATGTTCCTGGGCTGTCAGGGGTGCATATGTTAAATCACAATGTGTGCCACCAGGATGAGAATGTCCTAGGGGTAGGAGGCCAAAGCACTTCTCTAAGAGGGGGAGATAGAGGATGCTGCAGATTGGGGTTGGCCAGGAAGGTGTCTAGGAAGAACAGTATTTTACAAGGGGGAGGGATCAGTAGTAAGTAGTACTTAGACCCATCTCCTACCACAGAAAGATGATTATTAAAGCAGTACTAGATCCTACCTTGGCAGTCAAGATGTACGAATAAAAATACATTGGTCACCAATTTACTTCCTGTTCCCTTTCTTCCCGTTTAAAATAGTAATTGATGCTCCCCCCCCCCCCCCCCCCCCGGCAAGCAGATGTTCTCAATTTTTTAGCACGTTTGTGGGGTTGCAGAATGTGTGTGTGGGGGGGGCAGCAGCTGGCAATAACATCTTTTATGTTTTATTTTCTGGCTGTGGGTTGGAGTTAGAATGAGGATTGAGAAACGGGGAAGCAGTGGCTTGCGGCCCTGTGTCCTGACCCCTCACACTGCATCTCAGGTAGCGGTTGTCCTCATGAGCCAAACCTACAACCTGTTGGCAAGTCGGTGGCATCTTTATATTATGTAAGTTATACCTGCTTGTGGTAAAAAAAACAAGAAAGTTTCGTCTCCACCAATTTCTCTCTCCAGAGGAAACCCCTGTTAACAGTTTGGCGTTGATCCCTTCTTTTTTCTTTGCAGAGAATAATACTACTGACAACTAACTTTTATTGGGGGGGCTTTCTATTGTGTTGGCCCTATTCTGAGTGCTGTACACGTATGAACTCATTTAGTCCATGTATTAGTCCTATGAGGCAGGTGTTGTGTTTTCTCCATTTGACAGATGAGGAAACTGAGGCACTGAGAAGTTAAATAATTTCCTTGAGATCACATAGGTAGTATGAGATGAAGCCAGATTGATATCCAAGCAGTCTGAATCTGAAACTATGCTCTTAATTATGACTTTATGCTGCCTCCATGAATGTGTTTAGTATGTATGCACACACAATTATATATTTAGTTCTTAAAAAAATAAAATCATGTTCCACAATTTGCTTTTTTTTTTTTTTTTGGTAAATAGTGAAAACATGGACATTTCACTGTGTCAGTGCATATCCGTCTACATTCTTTTTAAGATCTGTATAGAATTATACTGATGTACCATCATTTACTTAATGGTTCTCCCGTTTGTGGCCATTTGCACTCTTGCCAGATTTTTGTTATAATAAACGATATTGCAGGGAACATCCTAACAATAGCAGCAGCAACAGCTATCATTAATCCTGAAAAGCATGCTCACTGTGGGCAGGGCTTTATTCTAAGCTCTCTCCATGTATGAACTCATTTAAACATGCATCTTTGTGTAAGTGAGCAAGTAGTCCTATAGGTTAGATGCCTGGAAGTAAGACACTAGGTTAGAGGCCAAGTGCATTTAAATTTTTGATTGTAACTGCCTACTTTTCCTCCAGAAAAGTGGTATTTATTGACTGTTAGCTTTCAACTCAAGACCGTTAGGCATTGTTTGGAATGCACAGATGCATAAGAGAGAGGTCCCCCTGGAGGTCTCCAAGGATGAAGAGAAAAGCTAGCATAAGTCACCAGGTGATTAAAGCTGTCTCTACACAGGCAAGGCTGTGGCATAGCTGGAACATTAGAGGAGCACAGAGAAGGTCGCACTGCAAGGGGTGAAAGGTTTGGGAGAGGCTTCAGAGAGGAGTGAGCTGTAGGAGGCCTGGAAGACGTGATGGGATGGGCAAATAGTCCTCCAATTTTTCTCTCCAGAACAAGAAGAGAAGGACAAGGCTGGAGGAGGGGCTGGCGTAGTTTAAGAATGAACCAGTGAGTCAGTGGGACTGTGGTTCTGGCTGAAGCAGAGGGTATGTGTTGGGAAATAACAAGCCAACCTACTGCCAAGAGAAGAGTTGAGTAAGAGTAGAAATGGAAGTCCACCTGTCCTATGTCTAAAATTTTTAAAGTCACACACAAAGCTAATACATTGCTACAATATGTCCAATTCTTCTGCCTTGACAAATGAATCTTTACAACCACCTGAAATAGGCTTGAATTTAGAATTTCAGCTCCATGGAACATGGCACCGGAAGTTAGGGGATTATATTTCCAGATCAGCACCATTCAGCAAGGCAAAAAAAAAGCCTTGTGATAATCCAGTATATTTGCTATGGTCCCTTGGGTTAGTTCTTCACCTCTGCCAGTATTGAAGCATGCTGGTGGTGAAGCTGTTTTTAAGAGCAGGATGTCATAGCCCAGAAAGGGCAAGTGTGTGCTCTGCTCCCACAGAGGTTGGAACTCCCAATCTCTGACTTGAAGCTGCAACGTGGGCATAGAAATATTCCTATTTGAACTTCCTCCTCACTCCACCCCCAGCCAACAAAGAAAGAAATGCAGGTGCTTGACTGTGACTTTCTGTTCTGCAATGGAAATGGGCTCCTGTGTTTTTGTTTCACAAACATGGTTAAGGTCTGATTTTCAAGGCTGCAAGAGGGAAGCGAGGGTGATGGTAAGAAACCCAGAACTTGGATGCAAATGATGGAGCCATTTTTAATTTGTTCAGTGTAATCAGGTAGGGGAAATTCTATGTTTAAATATAACCAACCACTTTGAACCACATATGGAAGTAGCTATGTAAGAAATGCTTGGTGACGCACTGCCAGAGTTGTAAAATTTGTACCTCTCAAAACAAGGACGTAGAAAAGTTAAGTTTCTCCTGGTGATGCTAACGTATCTGCATCGCACTGTGCATGCAATTTCATGTCATAAATAATGAATTTACTGGCTTACCTACTACTCAGGGATATCACACATGTGGAATGTGGCTGAATGAATGTCACCATGAGACCCTTACCTTTCGTCAGGAGGTTTTCTCCACCTCAGGCTGGGACCAGGCAGGGTCAGGCTGGAGAGAGCCGATGCTGCCTGGCCTTGCAACATTGCCTAATGAGCACAAACACTGTTTTGGACTCAAGGATCTTGAGCTCCACAAGCCACAAATCATGAGGAAAGGGAAATCAAGCATTAAGGTCATCCCCAGATTATTATTGACCGGAACGGTCTGGAAATGGTTGGGTCTTTCTAAATGTCAACTGGGGCCTCTGTGAGGTCCAGCGACGTGGTGGTGTTTGCTTTTATTGCTGAAATTTCTCTATTTCAGGTTTTACTTGCTCTGATCCCTCTCAGAATGGGTGTAGAGACTGGCTCTCACCTGGCCTTTTCCTAGAGCTGCAGGAGGTCCTGAGGGAGAGTTTGGTGGCAGGTAACGCATGCAGACCAGGGGCATGGCTTTTACTCAAGTCCATGTGGGCCCTGGGATCAATCACACCTGTCCTAATTTGTCCACTGAGGCAGACTTGGGTGAAGAGAGACTTCAGGGGTAGCAGAGGAGAGAAAATGCAAGGACATCGTGTGTGTGTGTGTGTGTGTGTGTGTGTGTGTGTGTGTGTGTATTGTGACAACTGGAAGGGACAAGTGGGATTCACAGGTCCTGGTGCCCCGAGTCTGGTCCCTGAGGTGATGTAGAGCCCATGAAAATGGGTCCCAAGGCTGACCCCAGGACCTCATCTTTTGGGGTCACCTTCCACTGCACGCTCCTGTCCCTGTGGAACCACCTGGGCTGCTGGGTTGTGGCATATGGACTGGTTTCACTTTCCTTCAATGGGAAGAACTGGAATTGATTGACTAGCAATTTGCTAGTGTGTACGTTTTGCGTGTTGTGCTGGGCTAGGGCCTGTGGAGGACACTAAAGAAATAGAACATCAGCCTTCTCTTGGAAGACTACCAGACATTGGTTACATGATTGTGGATATACACACATTCTAGGGAGTGACCCAGGGCACATCCTGGGTGCCTGGTTTAGAAGATAGAGACCTTAAGGGGGGGTTTGAAGTCAGGGAAGGTTTCTTGGAAGAGGCTGAGCTGCTTTTCAAAGAGAGGGGATTTTAGACAGGCAGAGAGAAGTGGGGCTAACTCAACAGATGGAGAAAATTCTGTAAGCCCTATGATCATGAGCCCTATAAGGAGCAGGGATCCTAGTGATAGCTTTTTCCGTCTGAGTTCAGGCCCCAATTTTAGCCTTGAGGCAGGTCAGCTAAAGACAAAACTGTTACCTTGCTCTCCTCCCTGGCTGTCCTGTTCACAACTGTTATGATAAATTTTAACCAAATTATACCCCAGAGGCAGGCAGGCAGGCAGGCAGGCCGGCAGATAGGCAGGCAGGCATCCTTTGCCACTAGTATAGAGAACCGAATCAACCAACCGGGGTTCCTGCCAGAACAGGAAACCATGAGAAGTGTGTGCCTGGCCGCGTCCTCTGAGGCACTTTTCCCACCCTGTTGCTCGAGAGGACAGCCTTGGTATGGCACCTGCCTCACTGTGGATGTGTGGATGAGGCCTCCGGAAGGCAGGAGAGAGTCCTGGCTGGCTTATCTGACATTTGTTGGGTGATTTGTCATTGAAGGCTGTCTCCTTCAGGCAGCTGTGTGCCCCGGGTGAGTGACTTCCTCTCTCTGGACTCAGTTTCTGAATCTGTATACTGAGAGGGGGAGCCAGATGGCCTTGGATGTCCCTTCCAGGTCAGCCTGTTCCTGTCCCTAAAGGCAGATGGAGGCAGGTGGGGAGGGCAGTGGAGCAGAGAGGAATTGAGAGGAATTCCCCAGCAAAGGCTCTCAGGAACCACACAGTTCCCCATTCTGGTGCCACCTGCTCAGAGGGTGTGGGTGAAAAGGATACTGGCCTTGAAGGTCGTGTGGATGGGTGACCAGGCCTCCCCAGATGTGCCCTTAGGCTCTTTGGGGTTCAGATTTGGACTAATGTGGAGCCCTTAGTTAGGCCTGTCTTGCTTTACCAGGAAAAGTTCAGTTTTGTCTTGTGTAGAAAGTTGCCTGTGGTGCCAGGGAGGGAACTGTTGCCCTGAGAGGCTCACACTCAGTCTCATGACTGCAGCAAGGGCTGTGTCATCACGGCCAGGATCAGCAGGGCAGCAGACACAGGTCCAAGCAAGTTCTCCAGGTGCCTCCCATGGACTCTTGGGTCCAAACACACCCTCATGTCCATAGCACATGATGTCTGAAGAACTGAGGCTGGAAGACCCTTGACCAAGGGCTGCACTGATGCTGGAAGGAAGGTTCTTTGAAGAATGAGGACTAGAGAGAGCACATGACTTCACCAGACGTGCATAGCTACTTGGGGACACAGCTGCAGCTAACTCCAGGTCTCCTGACTCTCTGTCTATCATGCTTTCTCTTCCACCAAATTGAAAGGTGGCAAAGGCTTGGTGTACCACAGATTGAAACTTGGACTGATCTCTGGGAATCAGATCATTCTCTAAAAATGTGTCACAGGAAGTGAGAGTGCAGGGCCTCTCTTCACACATTGGAACTGTAGGTGGGGCACGTGTTCTCAGCTCCAGGCAGGGCAGAGAAAGTTGTGGAAGGGCAGCTGACCAAAAAGTACTTATTTAAGCATTTGTGTGTGCCCAGCCTTGAGCTAGGCGTAGTAGGGCATGAAGGAGCTTTGAGGTTCATACCTCACACAGCAATTTCACTGCAGCTGGCAAGGCAAATTTAACCCCTAAACTAATTGCAAAAGCAACTGAATGCAAGCTCCTGTTTGTGTGATAAAATAGAAGAACATACATTTATATTTGCATAAAAGAAAATCTGAAAGGATACAAAAAGCTAGTAAAAGTGGTTAATTGAGCAGTCAGTCATGTGATAAGAACTAGGGGGTGAGATGTTGTCATTTGTATATTTTCATTACAAAAATTTTTTGAACTCTGTGAATGTATCATCTTTGTAAAAAATTAAGTATAAACAACAATACTACCAATCAAGAACATGCTGAATTGGGTGACTAGTAGCAAAAGGAATTCAGAAAAAAGAGTTGAGGGGATTTCTTAGAGACTTCTTAAGCTTCTGGAGATTAAAACTGGAAGGGGCTCTAGGTGTCATTGTGCCTGACTTTCCACTCAATGCTATCAGGTCTTCTATAGTCACAAGACACAGAACTTCCAGTGTCCCTTCCTAAGCCCTGTACCATACATGGACAGTGCCGATCCAGGGATCACAATGCATAAAGAGGTCAGTCTCCATCCTCAATGGCTTTACGTTCTTCAAGTGCACCTTTAACTGAGATGCCAAGGAGATTTTAAGAGTTTTAGGGTAAAAAACAAAGTGATAAGGGGCTTAGAAGGAGGGTAGAATTAGGGAAAGCAGTAGAGTTAAACAGAAAGTAAGAAAGAAGAAAGCAACAGTGTTTGAAATAACTCTCAAAGGATGGGTGACATGTTGACAATCAGAGCAGGAATGCCAGGTGGAGAGAATGCAATGTTTAGGAAATATTCAAGACTGACTGGAGATTGGGCCACCATGGTGGAATAGTGGCATGGAAATCTGGATAGGGATCATGTTGTTGACTATATGGAGTGCCAGTCTGAGGTATTTCTCTGTCTCTCCTTTTTTTAAGTTTATTTACTTATTTTGAGAGAGACAAACAGCGTGAGTGGGGGAGGGGCAGAGAGAGGGCAAGTGAGAATCTTAAGCAGTCTCTGTGCTGCCAGCACAGAGCCTGACACGGGGCTTGAACTCACAAAACCATGAGATTGTGACCTGAGCTGAAACCAAGAGCTGGATGCTTAGCCAACTGAGCCACCCATGCACCCCTGAGATATCTATTTAAACTTTAATAGAAAATTGGGCATTAATACAGATTTATGAACATGTGCTTGAGTTATTCTTCTTGAGATTTTCCAGTGAGTGAGCATTCTCTATTCCATCCAAAAATGCATGAGGAGAAGCTTCCTGGAAGCAGTAGGAATTGAGCTGGGCCTTCAAGGATCAGTAGAATTTAGAAAGAATTCTTGGTGGAAGAAAGCTGAGTCCAATATCAGTGGGCATCACTGAAGGACTTTGAGCAGGAGAGAGCATGACAATACTGTGCATTGGAAGGACAGCTCTGTTGTGTAATTTAGCATAGAAAGGAGAAAGGATTGCTTGAGGCACAATGGTAGGTAAGGAAGCTTTCTCTATAGTTCCAAGGCAAGACACTGAAGGTCTCTCTGACTTAGGTGGCAGTAATGGGAATGGAAAGAAGAAGAAGACTGGAAAGACCCATTCCTTTCCCATCCCAAAGGTCCTCTTTTCTTGGATTTGCAAAAAGAAACTTTTGACCCATTTGCTAGTCCTGAGAGGAGAGACCATTCTTAGCTCAATGCTCAAGGCTCTCTACTTACCAGATGTTTTTCTGGATCTATCTACTCTCTCTTATCTCTCCACTGGCAGGAAGTGGCAGCCATACTTACCCCAGCCCTACTGTTCTTTGGCATATTACTGCAATTTGGATTTCATTTTATAGATGGTATAATAAACTTTTGCATCCTTGGACATCTGCTGCCAGGTTGGAGGAGAAGATGTTCAGTGGTGGTGGGAAGTCACCAATACTAGATTCAATTTTTTCATTTTACATGTAAGGAAACAGAGGCCCAGAGAGTTAAAGGAACATGCTTAAATCACAAAGAGAAGTGGGGAGTTAGGAGCAGAACTAGGTCTTTAGACTCCAAGTCCTGGACTTTTTAAAGTATACCTTATAGTTTCTGTTGAAGAATGCTAATATTTACTGAGCACATATTATGTGTTATGCACTGTGTTAAAGCTTTGATATCATCATTTAATCCCCTTAATGGCCCTATGAGGTAGGGACTATCATTATCTCTTTCTCTTCAAATGGGAAACCGCAAGTCATAGAAACAAAATAATTTTATCAAGGTCACACAGCTAGGAAGTTGCAAAACCAGAATTTGAATTTAGGTCTGTATAACTCCAAGTATGTATTCAAGTATAAGACCCCCCCCCCCTTAAAATTATTTGTTAAGATAATTGACAGCCTCAATAGAAGTTCTGCTTTTAACATTTACTGTTTGAGAAGATATAGAGGACTCAGTAATGCCTTTAATTTAATCTGTATTTGAATAATCAGTGTCTGCATACATTTTGGAAAATATACATTTGGAAAATAATTGTACGTATTTATGCAAGACATGGTGGGTATGAGATTCAGAACCCATCAGTGAGTAGAAGAGGTAGTTTGTGAGGTGTGGGAAGATAGTAGCTTGGGAAATACAGTAAGGTGAGCAATCTCAGTGGAGTGAAATTTTAAAGCTTTTCACTCTGATGAGATTGCTCATCTTTCAGTTCTCTGATGTAACTTGACTCACCAACCTGCAGGTATGAATGAAGTCACACATTTGTTTGGCTCATTACTCCTACCTGTAAAACTCATGACCTTGGGCTCCCCTGCACAATTTCCTACTTATACTTGTACTCCTGGGATGCTGTGAGAGGCAGTATGTAAACAAACTTGTACTTGCTGGTGGACCTTGGATATTTGTCGTGTGTCTTGCTGCTCTCCCCAGTGTTCTGCCAATATACTGCTCTATTGTGGGGGATTAGGGGGAGCGGTGGGCCAGGGCAATGCCTTAGTCTTCTTTGTTAGAAACAATGTGTTACAGAGTTTAGAGAAGCATCTCTATGTAATTTTTAATTGAGTATTGAGTATAATTTATATTCAAGAAAATACGCAGGGTACAGTGTTCAGGTCAATGAATATTAACCATTGTATATGCTTGTGTAATCAAAAAAGATATAGGATATCCCAGAAGTTTCTCTTGTACTCCTTCTAGTGTCAATTCCCTGATTCTCCAGAGGCAACCACTTTCTAATTTGTCATATTAGATCAGTTTTAACTTCATCTAAGTGGAATTATATAGATGTGTTTGGCTTCTTTCACTTAAAAGAATATTTTCAAGATTCACCCATATCATTGCATTATCAATAGTTCATTCTTTATAACCGTTAAGTTATATCCCATTGTATAGATGTGCCACAATTTTTCTATCCTCCTATTGATGAATATTTGGGTTTCCTATTTTTTACTATTATGAATGAAGATGATATTAACACTCTTGTACAAGTCTTTTTGCGGAAGCATGTTTTCATTTCTCTTATATAAATACATAGTAGTGAAATTACTGGGTCATAGGGTAGATGTGTATTTAACTTTATAGGAAACAGCCAAACAGTTCTCCAAAGTGATCATACCATTTCACACTTATACTAAGTAATATGTGAATGTTTTACTTGCTTCACTTGTTTTACGTGTTTCATACTGTCTCCAACATTTGGCATTGTCAGTACTTTTTATTTTAATCATGCTAATAGGTGTGAAATTACAAGATGATGTTGAATACCTTTTGTGTTTAATTGACTGTATCTAATTTTGAGAGATGTCTTTTGGCTATTAAAAAAATAAGGCTGCTGGTTTTTAGATGTTTGATTTGTAGGTATTCTTTATATATGCTAGATACACATTATACATAACTATGTATATATGTAAATATATACATAGTTATGTACATACATATTGTTATATATACGTATTTTTCCCCAGTCTGTGGCTAGCCCATACATTTTCCTTTTTTAAAGTTTATTTATTT